GGTACCCATTCCCACCTGGGTGAAGTGAGGAAAATTCGTGTAAAGTGCCTTTCCCAAGGACACAACGTCGGGTCCTTGACGGGATTCGAACCCACGACCTTACGGTTGCGAGTCCGAGAGCCTAACCACTAAGCCACCGATAAGGTCATGATGGATCAGGAAAGTTCTTAAAATTTGTCAAGTGCTGTCTGTGCACGGAATTAAAAGTGATGTGAATTGAAGATTGAGTAGCTGCTAAAATTATGTTTTAAATATATGACTTCTCCTGTATATTCCCCAGAGATCTAAAAGAACTTTGGGCAACAATGTCTAACAGGCCTGGCAGTGCACAGTCCCGCACTGCGTGGGACGACGGGTACGGCGACGGTATCCGCAATGACCCTGACCTTGGCATGGACAGTGAGGTAAAAGCTTTGGTCATGTTATGATATCGTCGTCGTCATGGATCATTGTTGTATGTCGTGGGTGGTTGGCAGGTGCTCTGGTGTGGTTTGCTCCTTCTTTCCTCTCAATCATCTATCGTCCTGATCTCTCCTCCTTCTTTTTTTGTGTTTGTTACTCTCTTGTAACACCTTTAATCATGGTCACTTATGACCTTATTGTGTTGCTAGTGCCGTAAAACTCTTACTAAAACTAATTGTTCTATGTCACGATACAAGGTTTTCAGGAGCAGCTAAAAAGTTTTATTTTAGGCAGTAACTTATCTTAATAAAGAATATTTGATTAATCTAAACCTTTTTAAAGTTTTAAGAAGTGGAGTGAGACTAGAGTAAATTTTTACTTTTAGACCTGCATGCAGATGCACTGTTTTGAAGTTCACCTGTCTAAGACAACTACTTTCCTCCTTTGCAATGTATGACTGTTGTAGACCATTTCGACTATACTAATTCCTGTGTGTTGTCCGTAACCTGACAGGGCTACATGGCCGGCCAGAGCCGCAGCGCCAAGTCCTCGTCCAGCCAGATGGTATCCTCCACGACGGAGCTCAAGTCCAAGTCCAGTCGCTCTGGAGGAAAGGGAGTGTTGAGTTTCTTCACTCGCGGCGTTCGCTGTGAGTACTTTCATCAGCATCATCATCATAATCAGAATTTGTGCATCAATGTCTGACGAGGAGCAAAGCATCTTAAGTGACATAGAAGAAATAAAGGTTAAGAGGGATTCTGGCTTCTTCTGTAGCCAATGAGACCAATTGTGGCGGAGAAGAGTTTGAAACATTTTGATGTTTAACACTTCGCCATCACATCATGCCGATCGGCAATGTTTACTACCAGGTTTCTTTGGATTTTCCCCAAAATGCCTTTGCCTTTGATGACAAGAGTTCTGACTAGATCTTTATGAGCTTTGTGATGGCAAAGTGTTAAAAATAAAGCTTCATTTCCGCTCTTGAATGTGCGCAGCTTGTGCACTTCTCTTGTGGCTTTTCAACATTTCTAATTTGTGAAGCTTCATGATGATTTCTGCCCTCTGTGTGACTACTGCTCTCTGTGATAGTACAGCACACTGCCTTGATTTTATTGTAGACTGATTGTAACTCTTTCTTATCTGATGAAAATTTAATAGGTGAGAAGCTTACATTCATTTCTTTGATGAGAAATGTAATGTCATTAAATTGAACTAATATTACATGGGAGAATAACAAAAATATAGCGAAATGGGAAGTGAGGGGTTGAAATTCATGTCGTCCAAATGTCGGCTAGAAATTAATGTTTTCTCTCTTTCTTTCTTTCTTTCTTTCTTTCTTTCTTTCTTTCTTTCTTTCTTTCTTTCTTTCTTTCTTTCTTTCTTTCTTTCGTTCTTTTTCTTTTTCTTTCTTTCCTTCTTTCATTGTGGTGCCTGTATACCCTTGTCATTGCTATGTCATTTATTTGAAAGTGCCAACAGCTTGATTTAAAAGTTTGTGGTTTTTTAGATAATCAAATGTAAAAATCATCCTGTGGCTTTGAATTAACTGGTTCATTTACTGAGGTTTTGTCTTCAGTCTAGCTGGATATTGCCTGCTTCAGGTTTATGTAGCAGAGATGAAAACATGAATGTTTTCGATGTAATTTCTTCACAGCTCTGTGGGCCACCCGCCAAACGGAAGAGACCAAGACGAACCGCGAGCTGTACGTGAAGACGACCCTGAGAGAGCTGATCATTTACATCGTGTTCCTGGTCGTACTGTGTGTCAGTAAGTACCTCAGTCAACTTGGGAATTATGGGTGGTTGGCGGGTGCTCTGGTGTGGTTTGCTTCTTCTTTCCTATCAAACATCTATCGTCCTTATTTCCCCCTCCTTCTTTTTTATGTTTGTTACTCTCTTGTAACACCTCTAATTTCCTAGCGCTCATATGACCTTATGCAGTTGCGAGCGCTGTAAAAAACTAAAAAACTCGGAAATTATATGTTTGATAGGAGAACCAAGAATTAAACCCCACCAGAGTACCCGCCAACCACCCACTTTCAGACTGTATTGTTCTTACTCTTTACATCCCTCAAGTCTCACTGACTTTGCCTGTGTGGGTGGTTGGCGGGTGCTCAGGTGTGGTTTGCTTTTTCTTTCCTTTCAAACATCTACCGTCCTTATCTCTCCTCCTTTTTAGTGTTTGTTTCTCTCTTGTAACACCTCTAATCTTCGGCACTTATATGACCTTATTGTGTTGTAAATGCCGTAAAACTCATACTAAAACTAAAAGACTTCGCTTGTCCTCTATTTCTTCCACTCTAGTTACGTTCGGCATGACCTCGACGACCATGTACTACTACACCAAGGTCATGAGTGATCTGTTCCTGGACACGGCAAACAGTGAAAACGGCGGAACCTTCCGGACTCTGACCAGTGTGGAGGATTTCTGGAGAGTAAGTTCTTCAGCATTCAGTCGTTATCTTTTTTAAAAATAAAAATTATGATGCTTTGCGGTGAAAGCAGGGGCTCGTCAAAATAATGAAATTGAAATATACACCATTTTTCCTGTGGTTTGGCAATTTTTTTGGTTTTTTTTTTAGCTCGACCCCTTTTATGTCTATTTAAAACACATTTCTGTGTGGAATTTACTAAAATAATAATAATAATAATTGCATTTATATAGCGCATATCCATGCTCAAGAGCATACTCTATGCGCTTTACAACTATTATTACCCCAGCAGACCCTCTGAGAACACTCAGAAACTTTCTCGGCTTCTGCGGAAGAATACAGCTTAAATACAGCATCTGATGTTTTGTTTTTCCCCCAGTACGCCAAAGGACCCCTGGTGAACGGCCTGTACTGGGAGACCTGGTACAACAACGACACAACGCCCCCTGGTGGACTCGGCTACATCTACTACGAGAACAAGTTACTGGGTGTGCCGAGACTGCGACAGCTCAAGGTCCACAACGACTCCTGCCAGGTATGTCTCCGCTGCTCTCCGTCACCTCACCTCTTATCTCTCCTCTTATCTCTTTCACCTCACCGCTGCTCTCCCTCACCTCACCTCTTATCTCTCCTCTCTCACTTCACTTCTCATCTGTTATTTGTGCCGATTTTGTGTGTGTGTGTATGTGTGTGTGTTTGTGTGTGTGTGTGTGTGTGTGTTTGTGTGTGTGTATGTATGTGTGTTTGTATGTATGTGTATGTGTGTGTGTGTTTGTGTGTGTGTGTGTGTGTGTGTATATATATATATGTGTGTGTGTGTGTGTCTGTGTGTGAATGTGTGTGTGTATGTGTGTGTGTAAAAACACTTACATTTAACCCTTTTATGGCTGAGGCATTTCCATGTGCAAACAAAAGAGATTTAAACAAAGCGATAATATTATATGTTCCTTCATAAAAGAAACAAGCAGTTGCAGAAGTTGCAACTTATATCATCTAAGATAAGATACCTTTGATTAACAAGTAGAAAAATGTCAATGAACAATTTGGGAGAACATGAGTGAGTATATATATATCTACACAGCAGGGAAGAGATTCTAAATCATTTGTTTTCTCACCTATCCGTTGTCTGATGGACTCGAGGACTGCCATAAGGCCCATTAAAATGTTGGTTTTTAAATTACTTTTGAAGGAAGGGGGAAAAAGGAGGTCTAGGTTTTTTATTTCTTTGTGGTGATCGGTAAATTACTATCTTATCTTATCAACATGTGCCCCTCAATCAACATCTCAACCGAACTGGAGTAAAGCAGTCTGCTGCCTGCCCACTATGTGACTACCCCTCGGAGACAGTGGAACATCATCTGTTCTTCTGTAGAAAACTAACTGATTTAAGGGGATGTTTTCTTCCCAAGCTACCCTACACATCTAATTGCCTCGACTCCTCGAGACAACAATTAGAACAGACATGCAGCTATTACAGAATGGCATCATGCAGAAGAGTTAACGCTCAGATGCTCCTGGATCGCTCACAACAACATCTTATCCTATTTTGCCATTCACTTTTTCCCTAGGTTCATGAGGATTTTGAGAGCTTCATCTCCGAGTGCTACGATTCCTACGCCGAGAGCATCGAAGACACCAAGTCCTTCGGCCCATACCTGACCGAGCCCGATGACACCTCGTAAGTTCACCGGGCGGTTTTTGTGGGTGTAAAAATACAGACAAAATTGGTCGCTTCTAACGCTTTGCCACCTCATCTCGCCGATCAGCGATGTTTACTTACTTACTTATTACCCATTACACCGATCGGCGATGTTTACTTACTTACTAACTACCCATTACACCGATCGGCCATGTTTACTTACTTACTTACTACCCATTACACCGATCTGCGATGTTTACCACCCAGTTTCTTTGGATTTCCCCCAAAATGCCTCTGCCTTGTGATGGCAAGAGTTTTCGCTATAGAGCCTTGTGATGGCAAAGTGGTAAGGACAAGCGGGCTAACCCAGATTTCGGGGATTTCTAGAAATCTTGACCTACACCAAAAGTGGGCATTGCCCTACCTATAGGAGAAGTTTGGTTTCATTGGTGTGTATATTTGTTTGGTTAAAGAGAAAACTCTCCTTGTCTTTTAAAGAAGCTGAACAAGGGTCCAAAAACTTTACCTTCGATTTTCTCAAAACAGCATTTTTTGGTCCCATATTTTACATTAAAACGTCTACGTATTTCAACTGGTTATATGTGTAATATGGGCAATATGTGAGTGATTGGTGGACTTTTATTTATTACGTTATGCAGTTGTGAGCGCCATAAAACTCTTCCTAAACTAACTAAAACTGATGGACTTTACGTTTGTTTGTGTCTGTCAGCTGGAAATATTTCACGGAGGATCAGCTGCACGGCTCATCTCACTGGGGGCTGCTGGGCGTGACTTACAGCGGCGCAGGCTATTACAAAGACTTGAACAGCACCAAGGCCGCCTCTGTGGAGATCGTCAATCACTTGTTTGACGAGCTGTGGATCCGGCGAGGGACAAGGGCTGTGTTTGTCGACTTTACGGTTTACAATGCCAACATCAATCTCTTCTGTGTGGTCAGGTAAGTCGGGGACTTCAACTTCTTTCTTATTTTACTGTACTTTACTTTACTGTACTGTACTTTACTTTACTTTACTTTACCTTACTTTACTGTACTTTACTTTTCTTTACTTTACTTTACTTTACCTTACCTTACTTTACTTTACTTTACTTTACTTTACCTTACCTTACTTTACTTTACTGTACTTTACTTTACTGTACTTTACTTTACTTTACTTTACTTTACTTTACTTTACTTTACTTTACTGTACTGTATTTTACTTTACTTTACTTTACTGTACTTTACTTTACTTTACTTTACTTTACTTTACTGTACTTTACTTTACTTTACTTTACTTTACTTTACTTTACTTTACTTTACTTTACTTTACTTTACTTTACTTTTCTTTACTTTACTTTACTTTATTTTAGTTTTACTTTTTTGATCCAGAGACCATTTGAGTTCTAGCCCTTCGGCCTGTCAATATGGCACAGAATTTCCAGGTTCTTTCTTATTTTAGTTTTAGTAAAAGTGTTACAGCATTTGCAAACCAAATATTTCATATAACATCAAGCTCTTCTGTGTGGTCTGGTATGTCGGGGAACTTCTTTCTTATTTTAGTTTTTGTAAAAGTGTTACAGCATTTGCAACTCAAATAAGCCATATAAGTGCGGAAGATTAGGGGTGTTATATATTTTTACATACATGCAGTGAAATAAAGGGTACATAAAAAGCAAATATGTGTCACGACGCGGTGGAATGTGGCGCTCGTCAATTTTTGTACGTGTGAAGTTATTGGTAGGCCTATCATCTGAAAGCTGTTTCAATTGCCTTGCTTCTAGACTGCTGGTGGAGTTCCCGGCGACAGGTGGCGCCATCCCATCATGGACGTTCCGCACGGTGAAGCTGATCCGCTACGTGACAGTGGGCGACTACTTCATCCTGGCCTGTGAGATCATCTTCTGTCTGTTCATCCTGTACTACATGGTGGAGGAGGCCCTCGAGGTACGTACGGGAAGATAATGGTGATAATGATAATGATAACAATGATCATCCTCTGTCTGTTCATCCTGTACTACCTGGTGGAGGAGGCTCTAGAGGTACGTTCCAGAACATAACAACGATCATAATAATGATCATAATGGTGTGCATATTGTTGTGGTCCACAGGTAAAGAAGCACAACCAAAAGTAACATTTTGTGTATATTTTGGTCCACTGATAAAGGAACACAAGCTAAAGTAACATTTTGTGTATATTGTGGAGGTCCACAGATAAAGAAGCACAACCAAAAGTAACATTTTGTGTATATTGTGGAGGTCCACAGATAAAGAAACACAACCAAAAGTAACATTTTGTGTATATTGTGGAGGTCCACAGATAAAGAAGCACAACCAAAAGTAACATTTTGTGTATATTGTGGTGGTTCACAGATAAAGAAACACAACCAAAAGTAACATTTTGTGTATATTGTGGTGGTTCACAGATAAAGAAACACAACCAAAAGTAACATTTTGTGAATAATATTGTGGTCCACAGATTAAGAAGCACAAGCTGTCCTACTTCAAAAGCTTCTGGAACATTCTGGACATTCTGGTGATCATCATCTCCATCGTGTGCGTGGCGTTCAACGTGTACCGGACCCTGGAAGTGGATGCCAAGCTGGATGAGTTGCTGGCCGATCCGACGGTCTACGCCGACTTTGAGCGGCTCAGCTACTGGGAGACGAGGTTCAGCAACGCTATAGCCATCGCTGTCTTCATGGCCTGGATCAAGGTATGCTTTAGCTTTGTTGTTGTTAGAGTTTTGCAGCTCTTGCAACACAAATAGGTCGTATTTAAGTGCCGAAGATTAGAGGTGTTACCAGAGAGTGATAAACGAAGAAAAGAAGGAGAGATGAGGATGATGGATGTTTGATGGGAAAGGAGGAGGAGAGATAAGGACGATAGATGTTTAATAGGAAAGGAGGAGGAGAGATAAGGATGATAGATGTTTGATAGGAAAGGAGGAGGAGAGATAAGGATGATAGATGTTTGATAGGAAAGAAGGAGCAAAGCAGGTTTAGCTTTTTTTTTTTATCAAACACCTCGTCTCAGATCTCAAAGTACATCAGCTTCAACGAGCCTAGACAGATTTTAAAAAGTTTTTTTCTAGGATGTGATATACCCTTTAAATGAAAAGTGGAAAGACATGGGGTTATATCAAAGGTGTGTGTTGTCTTATTCTTGGATAGGGCAATGTGGAAAGTGTATGTTCATGGGTTGTACCCTGATGCAGGGTGAGAAAGGCATTGATGATGACGATGATGATGCTGACAATGATAAAGATGATGATGATGATGATGATGATGATGATGTCCTCTAATGTTATTTTCTGTCTCCTCCATGACCTGCTCAGATCTTCAAGTACATCAGCTTCAACAAAACGATGACCCAGCTGTCCTCCACTCTGGGCCGCTGCGCCAAGGACCTGGCTGGCTTCTTCGTCATGTTCCTCATCATCTTCCTGGCCTTCACGCAGCTGGGTTATCTGCTCTTTGGCACGCAGGTCAAGGACTTCAGCAGCTTTGAGAACTCCTTGTGAGTACACACGACATTTGTCACAGACAGCCACCCATTGTCAGAGCACTGATAGCTCATTTGGAATGAAGTAATGTTCTCATTTTTATCAAATAAAGTTCAAATTAGTTAATCAATAATAGTTGCGAATTAAAGTTGAAACTTTTTATCAAAAATTGTAAATTAAAGTTGAAACCAGTTTATCACATATTACATATTAGAGTTGAAACTAGTTTGATATTGCAAATTAAAGTTGAAACTAGTTTATAAAAAATTACATATTAGAGTTGAAACTAGTTTGATATTGCAAATTAAAGTTGAAACTAGTTTATCGAAATTTGCAAATTAAAGTTGTAAGTTGTTTATCGAAAACTGCAAATCAAATTTGAAACTAGTTTATAGAAATCTGCAGATGAAAATTTTACCAATTCAATGAAAAATTGCCAATGGTTTCCTCCCCTCCAGCTTCACCCTGTTCCGGATCATCCTGGGTGACTTTGACTTCCACCAGCTGGAGCAGGCCAATCGCATCCTGGGCCCCATCTTCTTCATGCTCTTTGTCTTCTTCGTCTTCTTCGTGCTCATCAACATGTTCCTGGCCATCATCAACGACACCTACTCCGAGGTCAAGTCCGACATGGCCAACACAAAGAACGAGTTTGAGATTGCCGATTACTTCAAGAAGGTACGCATTCTTGTCTATATCTATGAAATTGCCGATTACTTTAAGAAGGTACGCATTCCTGTCTATATCTATGAAATTGCCGATTACTTTAAGAAGGTACGGATTCTTGTCTATATCTATGAAATTGCCGATTACTTCAAGAAGGCACGGATTCTTGTCTATATCTATGAAATTGCCGATTACTTTAAGAAGGTACGGATTCTTGTCTATCCATGAAATTGCCGATTACCTCAAGAAGGTACGGATTGTTGTGTATCAATGAAATTGCCGATTACTTCAAGAAGGTACAGATTCTTGTCTATCCATGTTTGAGATTGCCGATTACTTCAAGAAGGTACGGATTGTTGTCTATATCAGGGGTCGCCAAACACTATGGCCTGCGGGCTGGATCTGACTACCAAGGTCACTTCTACTCGCCCACCATCATGCTACAGTGCAGGAAAAAACAACGTACAAGATGTGTTTGTAGTGGGCTCTGTTCTTGATCACCACAATAATTTTTAAATTCTGTTGTGCTGTACAGTGTAAATTAAATAGATCTATTCTTTTATAGAGTTCATAACTTGTAGGTAATGCATCACTCTCTTGCTGGGCTATAGTGTGACAAATCTTTCATTTAACACAACAGTCAATTGTATTGGACAAAACAATTATATCTATCCCACACTTGGCTTTCTCTCAGTCGTTCTGTCCACTTTGAAAACGATTATTTCAGATTGTTATGGTTAGTCAACAGCTTGGTGTCAATGCCTTCCAAAGTTTTCTGTGGTGCTATAAAACTCTTACTAAATCTAAAATCAAAGATTACTGTCATTTTGTTGATAGAAGGGAACTGATTGAAATTAAGCGCCATTTCAGGTCATGGTATATATATATTTTATTCTCATTTCGTGACGATGTGTAATCGTGTGCGTGTGATAAGCAAGTAGATGTGTGTTTACGTGTGTGTGTGTGTGTGTGAGTGAGTGTGTGTGTGTGTGTGTGTGTTTGACATACATGTGTGTGCACATGTGTGCGTGTTATGTGTTCGTGAGTGTGTATGCGTGTGTTTGTGTGTGTGTATGTGTATATGTGTGTGTGTTTGTGAGTGTGTGTGTGTGTCGCGTGCTTGAATATTTTTCTTACATGCATTTATGTAAAGCGCCTAAAGCTGTGTTTACTCGGGAGTGGGCGCTATAGAAATAAATGATCTTCATTATTATTATTATGGTTTTGATTTGGGAGCTCTCTTTTTCTTGTTCTGAAAACTTTCAAAAACGTCTTCGAAGTGCTTGTGGAATGTACCTGACAATAGGTCGCTTTTCTGCACAAGGGGGCTATCCCGAAAATGTTGTTTTGAGAAAATTGGAGTTAAAGTTCTTGGACCTTTGTTCAGTTTCTTTAAAAGACATTGAGTTTTCTCTATAACTAAACAAATATTCTCAACAAGGAAACCAAACTTCTCCTATATGTAGGGCAATGACCGCTTTTGGTGTAGGTCAAGATTTCTGGAAACCCTTGAAATCTGGGTTACCTCGTTTGTCCTTAAAAGCGACCAATTTGACAGTCCCTAGTGGGATGCTGACTTTGTCTTTGTCGTTTGTCATGATCAGGGCTACATGAAGATGCTGGACAAACTGAACTTCAAGCGGGACAAGATCGTGGACATCCAGAAGGCTCTGCAGTCGGCCGACATCAACCAGGACAAGCAGCTGGACTTTGACGAGTGGCGCCAGGACCTCAAATCGTACGTTTTAGAGGCCGGGGGGGTGGGGGGTGGTGTTTTTTCTTTTTCAGTCCCACTAGACTAATATGGCATGCTGACTAAATGAGTGAAATGTCAGATTTATGCACCATGGATTTAGATGCGTCCAGTTCATAGGCTGAGGTTGTACAATTTATTAATATGTAAATGATACATTTTTTATTAGTATATAAATGATAAAAGACATGTTAGACGTAAAAAAATAGCCTCAGTTGTTGTTATCGATCCAGGTAGCATCAGTTGAAAATGTTCATTCTACAAATTTGACCCCTTTGTCGATTTTCGGGTGAAATTTCAATTCCTTGATAGTGGGAAGTAACTCATTTTGTCAGCACGCCTCACTACATGAAGAGCTTTTATTTTTGGAAGAAGAGAGAATAACAATAACAATGACAATCTTTATTCATCTCACAGGGAGAAATTTGTCTTGGAAAGGGACTTGACATGATAATTTTGGAGTGAGATTTATGTTGTTCAGTCAAATTTGTTTAGCTGATTTGCCAGATTGTGCTTTACTTCTGCAAATACAATGGCGTCTGCTTAAATCCGAGACCGTCAGATTTTCAAAGTTTTAGCTGGATTTTCGGCATAGAGAGGTTACTCCAGAAGAAGAAAACGGGAGGATTTTCTTTTCTTGTGGTTTATAGGTGTTTTTGGATTAACCGTGTTTGGTGTAAGGGGACTCCACTGTAGTTGTGGTAAGGATGCGTTGGACACTCAAAAAAGATGACTTAAACAAAAAAAGATGGCTGTATGATGGTGTTATCGATCCAGCATGGCTGTAGGAAAAACGGCAAGAAAAACTGTAGGAAAAACTATTTTTTATGACCCTCACAAGGACTTTCTGACTTTTCCAGTCGCGGCTACGCTGACGGTGAAATCGAGGCCATGTTTGCCAAGTACGACATCGACGGGGACCGCGTACTGGACGAGGAGGAGCAGAAGCGCATGCAGGCGGACCTGGCAGATCAGACGGTGAGCCTTTTGGTGCTGTTGTAGTCAGAGTTTTGCGGCACTTGCAACACAAATAGGTGGTACAGTGCCAAATGTTAGAGGTGTTACTAGAGAGTAACATACAAAGAAAAGGAGGAGGTGATAAGGACAATAGACGTTTGATAGGAAAGAAGGGACCAACGAAAACCAATATCGGGAAAGACGTATGAAAACACTTAACACATTCATAATATGAACATAACAACATGCTTCGACTATCAAGGCGCCCCGGAAATAGCGGGTCACAAGAGAGTGACAAACATACAAAAGAAGTAGTGGAAAAATGACGATAGTAAGGATGAGGAAAGAAAAAGCAGCAGTTCCCCCTATGTTGTTCCGGCACAGTATAAGCAGGACATTGATAAATCAGCCCATTTACAATTCTACTCTGTATAAGAATATGTTAATATCCCCCCCCCCCCCCTCTTTGGGATTTGCTATTTCAGATCTGGCACTTGTTGATGATATGTTAACTTCGATTTTATAATGTTAAAATATCATAATGATGTACTTTCTCTCTCTCCATCTCCCTCCAGGCTGCCCTGAACAAAGAGTACGAAGACCTTGGAGGAAAGACAGACCGCCCCGGCACAGGTCGTCGATCCAGCAGTCGCGTCAGCTTCAACGAAGGAGACAGCGGTGACGACAGTGACGACGAAGACAGCGGCACAAAATCCTCGAGAACAGGCCGCACATCCAACGGAGTCTCTTACGAAGAATTTACCGTGTTGTCCAGACGCGTGGACAGAATGGAGCATTCTATTGGCAGCATAGTTTCAAAGATTGACGCAGTGCTCGTCAAATTAGAAGCTATGGAAAAAGCAAAATTAAAACGTAGAGAAACAATGGGCAAAATATTGGATAGTATAACAGAGGTAGGTGGCACTGGATATTTCTCCGGATAACTTAGGCACTCCTCTAGTTTTCATTTGATAAAGAATAAAGAGTTACACCTTATTTTCTGTAAGGTTCATTTTTTTTGGTCTATAGTATGAAAGGTTCTAGTACGAAATTACGACTTTCGTTTTGAGCAAAATGACACTTTGTGTATAAAGATATGACTGGCATTATCAAAGAAACAGCTGTTATACTGAGCTGTCACAGATTCTTGCATTTATTCCTCCTCTTTTTTTTTTCGTCCCGTGTCCTGATTTTGATGCCCATATTTGTTGGTTACATAAGAATGTATCGACATGGTGCAAATTGTTGTGTTTTCTAGAAATACGAAACAAGAAAAAGGGGACCTGTTTAGTCGGTGATGATGATGTCATTTATTCCTCCTCTTTGCTTACGGGGAAAGACAAAAAAAGGGCAGTGGTGATCTCATGGTTTAGGCTGTTAGGCTCGTGACTTAAAGGTCATTGGTTCAAACCCCACCAAAGTCCCGACATTGTGTCTTTGCAAAAGGCACTTGACAGGAATTTTCCTCCCTTCACCCAAGTGGGAATGTAAAGTTTATAGAGAATGCCACAGAGAATGGATATAATGCGCTGTATGAATACAATTATTCTTATTAAGATCCTTTGGAGCATTTGTGTGATAGGGGAGAGTGAACATTTCTCCAATAAAATAATACAAGAAGTAAGAGCGATGTAGATATTTGCAATATTGTCTGAATAATGGATGCTATGCTAACAAACACACTAAAGACACGAGTAGTTTGATGTCCTTGCACTTATCATCTGTTACTATTATCAAAGAGTCTACATAACAAGAGAGGCCACTTCTCTCTTTGAGCCAACTAAAAAAGTGTCCTCAAAATTCGGTGGCGCCCTCTTCGCAAATGCGCACCCGTTGCAAACAGAGTTACCCTACTTGAGTTTAAAAAATCAAAGTGAAACTAGCAAGTTTTTGAATAAATTACGGAAGAACGACTTTTTAAAATGGTTACGCAGACAAAAAACGTCTTCCGGAGGCAAGGATGATTGTTTTCTTCGTTTAATTTGACTTAAGAATGAAAGGCGAGAGGTCATTAAAATAAAAAAAAAACCTAAAACTACGCACTGAACGAACCTGAACTGCTGATGAACAGCAGTCGATCTGGGCATTGGCTGAGTGGCCCATCTTGTTATGTACTATCTTTGCTATTATTTATTTCATATATCTTCATGCCAATTATGTTTTCAGCGCATATGACCATATGCAGTGGCGAGTGCCGTAAAACTTCTACTAAAACAAAACAAAACAATTCCATTTTCAGTCGGATGGTACGAGTGACGAGATGAAACGAGAACAGATGGAAAAATTGGTGAGAGAAGAGTTAGAGCGGTGGGATTCTGAGACGTCTGTCGGGGCAAACAGCGGTCGAGGGGCGTCGCCGGGCGGGGGGAGTGGTCACAGTGGCCTACGCCCACGCTCCAGAGCAGAATCGGCGCAAAACGGGGTAAGTAATGTCTGATGATTTCCTCTTTGCTGGATGAACTGTCGGTAAGCTGTTCAGATCAAGTACTAAGCCCAAAATGTTGACATTTTTTGGATTGCAGTTTCTTTTTTTTTTTGTTGTTGGTGGTATCAGTTTGCATTTTTACATATGAAATATATTTTATTGAAATTCTAATTATAAATGTGTGAAGCGTACTGAAAAAATGAGTTGCGTCTCAAATTCGAGCCTTTTGGAAATAGATACATCACGCTTATATGTGAAGTTTTTACGATTTTTGAGTATGAAATGATAAAAGGCATATTTTACTTAAAGAATATGGCAGCAATATTTGGCCAATATATTTGTGGATTGCGAGAAGTGACTTATTTGTCAGCACGTCTCACATGACGAAAAAAGCACGCAAGATAAATGTTGTATCTGTAGATACAATTTGCCAAAGAAATGAAACAGCTTTTTTCTCTCTCCTGAAAATGTTGCTTTCTGGGCTTAATACTACATGTGAACAGCTTGACGACCATTTGTATCATGTGTGCCGAAAGAACCGTTCCAAAAGTCAGATTTGGACCATTTTGAGTTAAGGGTTGTACTTTTTAACGAGAAAGTTCTTTGCTGAACTCAGGGGTCTTTGAATTTTTAGATATCTCAAGTAGTTTTTGAGTTATTGCGCATTTTGCGAGGTAGGGTATAAAGATAGAATTTTGAGGAAATGAGCTTTTAAGTTTAACAAACGTAAGAACACATACAAACTAAAAAAAAACAGATTTTTAAAAATATATTTATTCCTGGATAATTCATTTCCAATTTGGCATTCAGTTGACATCAATATCGTGAATGGAATTCAGTGGTAAAACATAGCAGGGAAGAGAAAATTGCTTCAGGAATAGATTTTAACACCTTTTAAAAGCAGTTTCCATTATTTGTTTTTATTATACCCTATCTTCAAAATAATTCAAAATAAAATATTTAGAAGTCAAACCAAAGAAAACCCTTTGAGCTCATTGTAAAAATATTGGTGGATCTAACATTTTTGTATGGAAACCCATTTTGGTCAAAAAAGTGATTTTTGTCATTATCAGCCTGTAGCTCGAAATGGTTTGGGGCGACTTTTGGTATCTTTCTCCAGGCGCACACACAATGTATGTTTGTTTATTGACTTGTACGCCATCAATTATTAACTGTCATAAGTTGTATTCTACCCGTGGTCTTTGCTTTCAATGAAGTACGAGATGTACTCTACTATACCCGTGGTCTTTGCTTTCTATGAAGTACGCTGTCGGAGAGATTGGGTGTATTTCCTCCTGTTGTCGGTCAATAGCACAGTACTGTCCAGTCTCAGGTTTTTGTTCTTTGCTTGGTGTAGAAATGTTTGTCATCACGGTGAAATCAGGCTCTCCTCAAACTGGGTCACGTTTAAGCACAAGGGGGCTCTCCTCAAACTGGGTCGCGTTTAAGCACAAGGGGGCTCTCCTCAAACTGGATCGCGTTTAAGCACAAGGGGGCTCTCCTCAAACTGGGTCGCGTTTAAGCACAAGGGGGCTCTCCTCAAACTGGGTCGTGTTTAAGCACAAGGGGGCTATCCCGAAAAATGTTGTTTTGAGAAAATCGAAGATAAAGCTTTTGCCATCTTTTCAGTTTCTTTAAAAGACAAGGAGAGTTTTCTCTATAACCAAACAAATATACACACCAATGAAACCAAACTTCTCCGATAGATAGGGCAATGCCCACTTTTGGTGTAGGTCAAGATTTCTGGAAACTCTCGGAAATCTGGATTAGCCTGCTTGTCCTTAAAAGCCATTTTCCCGCTTATTTTACCTTTGATACCAGGTGACCCTCACCTTCCTTTAATCACAAATACCTCGACTTCTGTTCAAGATAAAGGTTGTTTTGGGGTTTTTTTTCTTTAAAAGCGAGGCAAATGAAGAAGCTTTAAGTTTCAGATTATATCAAAAACTCCATATGTGAGGCATCGTGGTGAAATCAGGCGCTCTTCAAAATAATGAAATCAAAGAAATTGGCATTTTTGGGGGGGCTGGTGGACAATTTTTTTCATACTTTCTATTTTTGGCTCTACACTTTTTAAGTCCTTTTAAAAAGGCATTTTTGTGTGGATTTTACTTTAAAACATTGATTAGAGGCACAAAAATGTAAATTTTCAGTTGCTAAGGACTTTCAGGCTATGGAAGTTACTCAACTTTGGCGGCCGTTTTCTCGCTAATTTTACCTCTGAAACCAGACGACCCCCATCTCCTTCAGACGCAAATATCTCGGTTTTTATTCGCGATAGATGAGTATTTTTTCACTGAAAGGAAGACAAATGAACAAGCTTTAAGATGATACCAATAACTCCTCATGTCCAAAAATTGACGAGCGCCTGATTCCACCGTGTCGTGACTCATATTATGTGCTAGAATTGCGGAGAGCCTGAGAACACGGTACCGTGACACAAATGTGGTAGACATCTGGTGACTGTCCTGTATCTCATGCCATGTTGGTTGACGTTCTACCGAAACTTTTCCACAGCGCTGAATCTGTCAGTATACATTTTGACTCGTTTCTTTTATATTTTGCAGTCATCTGACGTTTAGACGGTAAATAGCTTGCTTTGAATGAAATATCTGCTGTGTGCTTCCTTTGTAGTAGTGATATTGTTGTCTTTATGCCTTCATATATCTCTGTGAATGTTGTTGGCTTTTGTATTTGATATGCTCTCTATGCTTTTGGTTGCATAGTTTTTCTGTCATTTATTTTGTTTTAGTTATAGAATAATAGTTGTAGTAAGAGTTTTACACCATTTGCAACACAAACAGATCATATAAGTGGCCGAGTTTGAGTTATTTTGATGTTTATCATGATGAAACCAAAAGTTAGTGGATGTATTTTGCCAATTTTTTCCAAGACTTCCAAAAGCATCGCAGGTGAAAGCTGTAAAACTTTTCAGAAATAACAGTTTCTATTTCAGGTGAAATCTGAAACATGCGTTTAGTAGACTCACAGTATGCAGTTGCCCGCTTCATTTGTGTGGTACACCATTAAATCGTAATTCACAAAAACATGTAGCGTAGAGTGTGTTTATCCAAAATGTTCATCATGTCCGTAGTCTTGATAATCTTTGAACTACAGTCATCTTGTTTAGGCATGTGTGCACGAGCAGCGATGATGATCTAAAATACAGCAATGTCTTTAGAACAGTGGGAATGAGAATGGTTTGTTTTTCAATACTATCGTTGAAATTTGCACAAGGTAGCCATCCATTGTCAAAGAGAAAAGTGATTGTCTTAGATCAGAGGAATATTTTTAAAATTATCATCAATGTAGAAAAGTGCAAGGGAGGACGTAGGAGGTGGTTATTTGTGCAGCAGGTGATTGTCTTGGTGGCTGTCAGAGCTTATTCAGCGGTACTTCGCGGGCAGTATTGCATACAGACGCAAGTCATTTTTGGCGGCCTTTGAGATACGTCTGTATGTAGTTCTGCCCGTGACTCGCAATACAGTAGTATATAGGCTCGGCCCACAGGGTTCAGCCTGGTTTGTCTGCTAGACTGACACTGACTCTGGCGGCCTTACTAAAATATTGATTTTAGTCACTAAAAAAAAAGTACTGTTGCTTTGATTTTGTAGAACCTTTAGAATATTATGTTCTTGGAATGCCGTACCTTGTCGTTTTGTCTTTGTCTTCAATCAGGACTAGCTTTACTTTTGGTACCAATAGCTTCGATTTTTTGCGTTTATTTATTTTTTAACTTTTTCTTTTTAAAGAAAAATTAGTTTTAGGTGTAACGTTTTGTCTTAAAAAGTTGTCGCATTCAGTGTTGGGGGAATTGAGTTCTCCTTGATTTTTGAGATCTATGTTGATTGTCACATATTACTGATCTAAACAGACTTTTTTTTTTTTCGTTTGGAGGTTGGGGGGTCTTCAGGAAAGGTTGAGAATGAGGCAAATCTATTTGATCTTAGTTACCACGGTGTTTGATCTTTGAAAATATCTGCGAGGGAAAAAGTTTTCTGTGTGTAGGACTGTGTGGCTAGTGTTGTCTGGGGAATGAGTGGGAGGCTTTGCTGTGTCCAGCCTGTGGCAAGTAGTCCTTTCAGATTTGTGCCGGCCGACAGCAAGTTGTCCTCTCAGATTCGTGCTTTGTCATAAAATAGTAGGTCAGCAACAGAAAGATTCAGGTGTTTTTAGCTTTATTTGATTGTCTAGGAATGTCAGTCTTGTCTTAAATCTGAAGGTGATAGTGATTGTTGCCTGGACTTCTTCCACTCCATACTAAATGTTTTTGTGACCAAATAATAAACATAATAAACTGGGGTGCCAAAACCGGTCCAGAGTAAGTCACAGCAAATTCACATAGGGGTTTAAAAAAGCAATTAAGGCCTCAAAAACAGCATCGTTGGTTGAGAAATCACACAGTGGCATGAACTGAATTCAAAACACAGTGGAAATTGTCGCAGTGGAAATTGTCTAAGATGGTCACTCACAGTGGAGAAGAAAGTGGTTGTCTTAGACAGGTGGATGTCTTACACAGTGGCATTATAGCGCATATATAACAAATGCAAGGGAAGAAGTGAGAAGTGGCCATCTGTTCAGATGGTTGTCTTATACCGGTGGCTGTTCAAGCAGATTCCACTGTAGTTTTTAATATATCTTATTTACATGTTTAACCCTATCCATACATTGTTTTACTATCGTATCCATACGACGTGGGGAACTTGGTGCCACCACTTTTCAAAGAGGAAATTTACTCATTAATCACATCAGTACGCTTTGCATAGCAGTCTGTCTAAATGATTTTTTGAGAAATACTGAAAGTTTCAAAGAGACCTTAGTACTAGAAGTATTCTAAAATGTGAAGAATACAACCCGGGGGTACAAAATGACCCCGGGGCATACAGATAGGGTTAAGACTAACGATTGTTATCAGTTCTTGATAGTTGTTACTGAGAGGGCTTCAGATTCATTCCTTTATTCTTATTTATTTGCATTCCTTTTGTGTGGTTGTGTCACAGAGACTTGGAAAATTTGCCGCATCACTTCAGAACCGTATGGGCGTTCATGTTCCTTTTTAAAAAAACAACATTTAGTTGATTTATTTCTTTGTTTTGTTCAGTAGTACATGCGTTTGTTTTAGTGTTATAATGCTTCGGGTTAGATAAAATAACATGTTACCTTGCATGCGTACCAAATTTTTCCAGATTTTGTTGCTTTTTTATTGCGCTGAGTTGATCTTGTTTCTGGTGCAGCATGCAGTTATCTCACATCATTGTTATATGATCCAGTTATCTCACATCATTGTTATATGATCCGGTTATCTCACATAATTATTGTATGATTGTTTGTCTGTGATGGTTGGACCTTCTTTGTTGTGTGCATTATAAACGTGAATCAGCTACGTTTCTAATGTTGAAAAAACAACATGTTGATGACAGGGACCGTCTTCGTTTATTGCAAATTCACACTATGTAGTTAAGGTCTTTTCTGTAACAGTGGTTAAGGCTGAGGCAAATCTGTCCAAATGTCACTGTTTTAAAGAAATGTGAAAATTAACCTGTTGCTTTGTCGCTTTAAAGTTGTGAGGAAAAGTTCTTCAGTTGTTTTTTGAGACATAATGATTATCTTGTAAAATATATTTTTTCTGAAATTAAAAACACGTATTATAATTTTATCTTAGAAATACTGATAAATCTTTAGCTACAAGTATAGAAAGCTTGTACATACGTATAAATCACAGACGTATAAATCACATACGTATAAATCACAGACGTATAAATCACAGACATGTTTAAAAACAGGGCTGGAAATGTTGTGTGTTGTCTGGTAATGTTGTGTGTTGTCTGGTAATGTTGTGTGTTGTCTGGTAATGTTGTGTGTTGTCTGGTAATGTTG